TAAGCTTATTGCAACACTTTTAGATAGAATTTTTTATTTTTTAGTTGTATCAATTAAGTCTTATAAAATGGTCTATTATGACGCTTAAGAGAAAAAAAAGGGACAAGGGCGGTCTTGCTTGGCGCGAAGGCTGCTGGTTCGGGGTAGAGTACAATACTAAAGGTCTTCGGACCTTTTCCACTAAGTGATTGCTTAGGGACCTTAGCGTACGATCTGGGGCTGTCCTGAGGTTCTTGTTTGGAGTCAGAAATATCTTAATAATAGAATCAATGTTGTAATCTTTAAAATGCAAAATCTGTTGGAGTTGAATGCAATTTTGTTTTAAAGATTTTGAAGTTACATTCACCATTTTAGAGAAAGTTTAAAAATATGCTAAAGTTGAAGATGCTCTAAGAAAGTCAGGACATATGAAAATATAAATCATATGGACGTTTTCTATAATTAGAGACATAACAATGTGAGTTTGTGTAAACCACATGATATTGTGAAAAAAAAACTATTGATTGAATTTGTAAGCAATTAATCTATACTATATTATAAAGCATCTGACAAAAACTCTTAAAAACTTTTTTTATGCATAAAGTATTGTTTATTAATGCATATTACTTAAAATTCAAGATTACAAGTAATTTGTGCATAAGTACAACTTATTAAAGCTCAATGTTTGAATTCGTGTAACTAACTGCGGATAAACATAATCAAATAGAGGATAAACATCTCATTTTAAAAAATCTAAAATATAATTAAGATAATTATTAAGTTCTAACAGAATACTTAGTTATTATCTTTATAAAAAATATATTATTAATCCTAAATTAAGTTATTTCGTTATGTTAAATTAAATTACAATAAAAATTTTGAATTAAAAAAATAAATAAACAAGAATGTTTAATTAGTTAATTTGATAGTAATATTATATATATTTTTTTACAAATTTTATATGATATTTTCAAATTTATATTTTATTTAAAAATAAAAACATTATCGCTTTCTCAAAACCACATAAAATTGTATTATATCGACATGGATAAAAAATAAAACGAAACAATGAAATGAAAATGTGTCTCGATGCATTACACGAGTACCCTTCTAGTAGATTTAAAAGTATAAATAAAATTTTATATTTTATTTGATGTTAAAAATATGTAATGCACTGAAATTAAATTATCGTTTACGCCAAGAGCTAAGTTTCGCCTTTTCATTAGTTTCATAATTTAATTTGATTCTTACTTAATTTTTAAAAAATAAATAGAAATTTATTATGTTTCGAACAAATTATTCCAATAACTTGACTTACTTTTAATTTGGTTTTGAAAGGATGTTCCGGGCTATGTCTAGACTAATCTCGATAAATTGTAACTATAAGAAATCAGCCCTGATAAACTCAGTGACCATAATTATTGTGTACGCCTAGAATCGAACTCTAATCAGATAGGATATTCCACCATAATCATCGAGATTTCAACCACTACACCACAAGTCCACAACCCTTATGTTAACTTACTTTCGATATTGAGGTCGCCCAGGTTTTAACTCCAGTTTACTTTTGACTTTGTAGCATGCTTCTCGATAAAACAATTATGGGATACCAAGAGGAGAGTCCATAATAACAACAATATCAATTTTTTTGGGTTAATGCTTAAGTTTTTCAGGATCCTTTCAGAGGTCACTGATTGAAGTTTTGAAAGACCGTTGGAGATTTTTTTGACTGTATTTCAAGGTCGCTAGATTAGCTGATGTGTGTCCAAGCTGGCCGGGACACATGTGGTTAACAAAAAAAAAACATAACAATAACATTAAGGGTAGCCGACCAAGATTCATAACTCACATTGTGTCTAATGTAGTCGGGAAAGGAGACTTGACACTGTCGAATAGACCGCCATGACTTAGAAAACAATTCATCGTCCAACTCCATTGTCAAGTGCATGCAACTCTACTCTTCAAAGAAAGTCTTGGATCATGGATGCTAGCTCGACCTCCGAATGCGGGAACACCGATTTCAATGGTTTATTTGTTCAAAAAGTAACGTACAAGGACTTAATTATTTACAATAAAAAAGTAAATTTTTTTATTAAAAAAATAATTTAAAAACTTAATCAATGAAAATGCTTAGGGTTTGTATTTTCAACTTTTCCCTTAAATTTATTACTTTACTTTAATAAATTAAACGAGTCTAATTTTCGTTAAATCTATACTAAATTATAAAGCATTTGACTAAAACTCTTAAAACTCTTAAAAATTCTTAAAACTCTTAAACTCGTTTATCCCTAAACGATTTCATCCCTATCCGATTTCATCTCATATTTGAATTCGTGTAACTAACTGCAGATAAACACAATCAAATACATGATAAACATCTCATTTTAAATATAAAAAATCTAAAATATAATTA